TTAAGTTTCTCCCTGCCCGTTTCTCCAGCCTCCATTTTCATTTCACTCAAGATCGTAAATTACAACTCTACCCTTTGAAAGCCTCAAACTTTATCCTCTTTTGCTAACAGCTAAAATGAAAGATTAATCCTAGAAAGAAAAGTTGTAGTACAGCTGTACTTTCCAGCAAAGGAAGAGTAACTCGGGATCAAAACTCCCTGCTAGGTTTTCTCAGAGATGCGCTTCCACTTAGGGAAAGGTAACTTTCCCTGCCCTTCCCACCACATCCAGCAGTGCCCCTTACCCGAATTGGACCATGGAAGCCCAACTCTGCTACTTGGTTCTCTGTCCAGAGACACACTGTCTGGTCACCAAGTACAGGAATAGCGATGAATGTGAAACTCTTGCATATAAAGCAATGAAGTTAACAACTCAAAAAATACTTAACATCCACTGCTCTTCCACCCAGCTTGTTGACATTTTGCTATCATCTGTCCCTATGTTATTTCGTCCTTCTAAAATATACTTATATGTAGATGATGTTCTACAACACATAATTATGAGAATGTAACATTTTCACAACTTTTTTGGTTTTATGATACTTGTTAAAAAGTGAACTTTTTCTGACAAATTAATTTAAAAAACCTGTGTCGTGTTCAGAAAGTTGACATTACTCTAGACAGGAAAGGCATTTCATTTCCAGATGCACTTATCAGAAACTTACAAGGAGCTAATGATTAGATGACAGAAAATAACAGCTCACCCACTGAACACACCAGCAGGATTACTATGCAGTTCATGAAGAGATGGATCAGTCTGCTTAACAGCTGTTTATCTTCATTATAAAGTTATTTCCCTCTAACAGCAATCTATCTGGGAAAGTCTCTACTCTTAAACCTCAGAAAAAACAAACAAACAAACAAAACAAAACCCAAATATGAAGCACAATGCCATTTAAATTAAATTCTCCCAACATTTCAGTGATCTGCATCATTAATTATCTCAATTATACACATTTTCATTACAGCTTGCTAGTCTTGTCTCTGTGCTCAGAATAAGTTCTCCAGTCAGATTTAATAAGCATATAGAATTGATGGGGCACTTATTTCAGTCTACTGAATAGATTTCAGCTGAAGCAAAAGCTCCAAAATCTGATACAACAACCAAACAGTCTTAATTCAGATTTCTATCACAGTTAGCTCTCTGAATTGGCATTTGTAAACCAGCAATATTTATTATTTTAGGAAACACAATATAACCACAGTTCAACTTACTTAAAAACCAGTTAATGAAAACATATTTATGCTCACTTCTGAACCAAGCATTTAAATACAACCTAGAAACTCATGAGGCCAGTTAGACTTAGGTACCAAGTGAAAGCAATGCTAGCATAAATATATTAAACCCACACACTTTTTCTTATGAGTCATATTAAATAATTACAATTCTTTTGTAAAGGATACAAGGATTGTTGTCATCAATGCTGCAGTTGTCCAGGATCAAGGGAATGCCATCTAACTCATAAACCTAAACAAAAGCAAAAGTTTAATTTAACAGATGTCTCAATAATACTAATGGTGTTTCATGCAAAAAATATATAAAAGCATAACAGATATCTTAGTTCCATAAAAACCACTAAACACAAATTAGAGAGTAAATATGGTATTATGAGCAGTAAGTATCACAAAATAGTAACACAAGCAGACATTAATTTGACATTCCTCCTTCATTTAGCATGTGTTTGACTGAGGTATTTTCTATGTCATGCTCACTGAGCCATAAAAACTATGCTTATTGACAGCTCATGCTTGCTTCCAGAAGGAAGCAAAAAACTACTGAGTGAAAAAAAAAACAAACAAAAAAACAGAAAAAAAAGAGTTGAAAAATGCATATACACACACAAGTTTGCATGGGATGATATGTCTTTTCTGTCTTCTGGTTACCTATGCAACCTTCAGAAGCAATGTTATCTGTATGTACCTAAGCACGACTTCTTTATATCAAGAGCCATTGACTTTTTTCCTTTGATAGGATGTTCATTATGTTATTAGGAAACCAGCAAAGATGAGATCTGCAATTTTTTCTATATATACATGTGTATTCAAAAATTATAATAATATATTTGTTTGTGTGGATGACATAACATATAATGCTAACAGACTCATACGTATGTCTATACGCACCGACACTACTAAGAACTCAGGATAAACTGATGTTAACAATAAATTTGTAGCACAATTATCTCAAAAAAAGTACATTCCATAAGAAATTTAACTAGATTTGTAAGGTACACTGTAACATATTTATAGCTTTAGAAAGTGTTACTTATTTAAATGAAAATCTGTTTTAAATTATATGCAAAATTTCAACCTCGGAAATACCTTCTTAAGACATATAAGTGGTTTTGGTTTTTTTTTTAATTATAGAAGTAGTTTTAAAAAGACTTGAGAGCATGACGATTAATTGTTCATATTCTTATACCTGTATATTGTTTAAATTCTTTAAGCCATTTGGACATGGTCCTGTGCAACTTAATGTACATTTAAGCAGCAGGGTTGGACAAGAGGTTCCTCCAGAAGTCTCTCCCAGCTTCAACCATTCTGTGATAGCCAAACCATACTTGTCCAAATCTTAAATTCTTTAATTCCTTAAAATTTAATTTCAAACCAAGGACTAGCAACGCAAAGGAATTTAAACAGAACATCAGCTGAGACTGTGGCTTGGTGATGGGATTCTCTCTCCTATCTTTTTTGCCCAAAATAAGATGTGTTTTTATGTACCATGTAAAACAACAAATCACAAAGTTTAAACTGCAGGATGAATCAGCTTTCTGAAATGCAAGTTCTATGGTAAGAGAGGAAAGCTGGATAGGAGGAGATTTAGACATGAAATCCAAAACTGACTACTGATCAGCAAAACTGAATTCAGAGACAAATCTAAGCACATCCCATCCCTTTTACAAGTTCATTTTCAGAAAATATTATTACAGAATCTCAAGCCGTAACATAAGAAAGTAACAGTAACAGAGATGGATATACAAACGGACAAAGTTTACATGTAAGAAAAGCAAAGAGCATTGCTAGCTCTTAAGACCTAACTGGCACATCTGTGCTAACAAGCATAACTATAGCTACCTGAAATACAGTTAATAACACAAGTTTAAAAATATTCATTCTTTCCACAATTTTTTTGTGTGTTTTCCAAAGGTCGTGCATCATGTATGATGTCATACTTCAAAGCCTGAACGAACTGAGCTTTCAGTAATATAGTACCTGCACGTGCTCGGGAAACATTAGTTCTTTGATTTTTATGCTGTAGCCTAACTCTGACATGCCTACAATGTTACCTTTTATTTTCTATCAGTGAAATGCTGAACAACACAAATTAATCTAGATTAAGTGCTGTCAACTGAAATAAACCATGCAATCTGTTCCAGTGCAATCTAAATAAGACGTTCAGTTAACAAAGTAAGTAAGTATTCGGGGAAAGTAAAAATTTTCATTAAAATCCCCACACATTCAAAAAGTTACTGTGGGAATATAATGAGATTCCTTCCAAGTTAAGTGCGAACAGAAGGAGCAAACCACAGTCTTTGTGGTATCTTAATGTAAAGACCAGCTGCTAACTACCACTGCCTAACACACTGAGAATCTCAGCTTACAATTAAATTGTACATATAATTTGATCAAGTTAGGTATAGCTTTTGCTACCAGTATGCCAGCTTTAGTACGTCACCTGTGACTTATTACACAGTGAAATGAAGCAGGGAAAAAGAAACCTTACAATGTGCCTACCCAAGCCAAACCTATATACTTCTCAGCAAGGCGAAGAGCTCCAGTTCCTCAGCAACCACTGCTAGAGATGTTGCAGTCCATGCCAGCTGCTCATGAACCACCAATGATCCACTGAAACAGCATTTGATGGTAATTCATGCCAGTGTACTATAATAATCTGGTCTGCAAAGTGAGTCAGTTCAGTAATTGCTCTGCATTTCTGCAGTCTCAGTCATTTCTGCAACGAGTGCCACGGATAATCAAAGGAAGGAATCACTGTCCCCCACCAGGCTGTCCCATTTGTGTGCTGAAAGTCTCTCGAATCTTCTCACTCTCACCTGCCTGTAATCTCCCACATCAGTAGATTTTTGTAAATATTGAGAAATCATTATTCTAGGTCTCAACCTCTTACACAGATTTATTTGAACTATATTGCCCAATACAAAGAAGTTAGAGATTCTTTCCAACTAATTATTGGCCTCAGAGTTTTTCCTTTGAAGAGAAATGTCTGCAAAATGCACAGTACAGACTAAGGGTGAGGACCTTTTGCAGGGACCTTCTGCAGGGCTTGGGAAAGGAGTTAATATTGCACAAGCCTCAAATCTCACTTTAAATAAGGTGCAAAAATATCCTCGGAAGAAAACATGTAGTGAAATTGGCTGTAATCCATCCATATTTTGGAAGAAACTATAGACAGAAACTAAGCAATAGGACAGTTCTGATGCCTGTCTTGTAAACATAATTGCTCATATTGGTCTGTGTTACAAAAGATCACTAAAGCTATTCTCCATTGACATTATTGACAACATAGCTGACCAATAACATGGAACTGCACTGGACTGTAAAAAAACTACGTGGTTATTTTATTATGAAGAACTATAATGCTTTATTCTGAACTACACTGAAACAATCAATGAAGCTGCAGCTTATGTGTAGGCTGAAATCTTGACCACCTTTAATGTGCTGCAGCTTATGTGTAGGCTGAAATCTTGACCACCTTTAATGTAATTACAAAGGTTATTTAAAACAAGTTTAAAATTGAAAACATACATCTCTCTGTTAGTGATGTCTACTGCTTCAGTCAAGTCAGTACCAAAAATCTTGCCCTAATGTTACTGTGTCAGCTTCTGAAGTTGTTTTCTAAAAAGCAGAAAAATATGGCATTCAGCATTCAAAGGCAGGTGTCTATCTCCACCAGTTAAGAACATCTTTCACAACACAGCTTTATATTGATGTTCCACTTGTGTTCTGTACTTGCCTTTGAAACATAAAGATCAGTATCACAACGGCGAGAAATGTAAATGCATTACACCTAAGAAAATGCCTTCCCCAGTGACAAAGTGACTGCTAGGTTTTTTCTCTTTCTTTGTACATGGAATTTAACAATCTATTTCAATTTCTTAAACCAGACACTAAACAGAAGCCCATGTAGGCAGAGACGCTATATAAATATTAAAGAAGAGCTTATGAAAGTGACTACCCAGACCATATATGCTTACTGCTCTCATGGCCAAGGAAAAACACAGTGTTCTATTTAGATGGTTTGGGACATGTCAGTCCTAAGGAAAAAGCTATGCTTTTTCTCTTGATAACCAATGAATACATCCAGACAAAAATTAAAGCTTTTATGCTATCTTACAGAATTCACATTTATTGACCAATACATAAATAAGGTCACTAACATAACTAGGAATATCTGCCTGAACAGAACTACCTGCAATTATTTCCCAGTATCTTCTTATGAAATTCACACAAGTAATTATAAGTAATTAATAAGTCACAGCAGAGCCCAGAGAAAGTATAAATTAACCATAGACTGTTTCTTGAATCTTTCCCTCTAGCAGCAATGGAGCCAAGCTCAGGGTTAAGAATGCAAACTCCCCGAGCATGACAGTGCTTGTTGCTGAACAAGAAATCTGCACACATCTAGTAAAATGGAACTACAATCTCCAGGTCCAGCAACTATACATAAAGTAACAGAAAACCTCCAACAAAAAATAGTATCTTCAAAGAACTGTCAACACCTCAGGCATTAGAAACATTATCTAGTCAACTATAAGAATAATATTATAGAAAAGGTACATTTATGCCTTTAAATAACAACAGTTTAAACATAAATTTTTCTTCCACTAGAATGTGACAGATTCTTAGTCTTCAATCAATGCAGAAGGCAGAATGAGAAATATGTTTGTTTCAGCCACAGAAATGTTTCTATTTCTTAGAAATTGTTTGGAGTAACTATAGATAAGCAAAAAGAACTGTGGTCTCACCAACAGAAGTAGATTGCTAACAATTTGAGTAATCCATGCTAACACTCACTCTCTTCTTACATAATACTGACAAGTAAATTGACAAATAGAAAGGCAGATTTCTAGTTCAAAAAGTGCTTGTGGGGGAACACACACTCTAGAAACATGTCAAAAAACAGGAACAAACAGGAATCATTAATATGGAAAAACTCCAGATACGACATTCTTCACAGATCACCAGTTTCCTACCAGAGAAAAAGTCTGTCTCCAACCACGCTTAGCTTCAGAGTATTGAATTTCAATTTACATTATGGAACTTAAAAAAGGTTTCTGTGAGCAACAACACTGGCAAGCTTCACATTTTATGGACTTGGCTCCTTCACTGCACTCTTTGCAATGCTCCTAGTTCTGCTGCACAGCTAATAGTGTCAAAAACCACGCAAGTACCAAGACACGGTTCATAGGTACAGCTGTGCTGAACAGTTGTCAAACATCAGTCTCAGTT